CTATAGTTACTTGTTACCTGGTATATTCATTTTAAAGGTTATTTATTGAACTATTAATCAGTATATAAAGTCCCACTACCACATTAAAGTTATTTTATTATCAATACAAGTAACATAATAATTTAACAGTGACAGGTGCCATTCTTTATAACGAGTCAATAACCTTTATTTTGGATATTTTAATTGCATTCTGTTGCTGATACCTCTTTACTTTTACTTCAGTAATATTTTAATGCAGGGCTCTTTAAAATGAGCTTATATCTTGCTGTATGCAATATGGATTTCAAACGTAGAAACAAAAGATGAAGTAATACTTTAAAAAGGATGTTGATAGAAAAGCCAGTGTGCAATGGCTGTAGGAAACACCTCGTGTTGTACCTTGACCTCACGATGGCGACAAAGCAGCAGCATTAGGCCTCTGCTAAATCACATCATGATCTCACTTCAGCCAGCAATGATATGCCAATTAAATAATACATAATGTTGATGTCTGTTTTTTTTTATAACGATTTATTTATTAGCTGAAAGGAGTTAGTAAAATATTTCATATAAAGCTTAATGGTAAAATGTGCTTTTATGTCACCATATTAAATTTTTCATGAATCCCTATAAGTAAACTTCATACAGCTAAAGGCAGTCTGCACACTGTAACTGCATATTGGATATGCATGTCAATACACTTAGAAATATGAATGGACACTAGACTAGTTCAGTTATTCAGGTAAACAAGAAAATAATAGGTGGACAAAATCTGGAAACGGTATTTCTAATATTTTTTGACAAAATAATAGAAACATAATGCATTCCCATACAGCTACACAAGCTATAAAGTGGGATGTAAAAGATCAGTTTTGAGGTAATTTATTTGAGTGTTTATTTGACAGCTCTATGTTACAGAGAATATTTTACATACAGAATATTATACATTGTAACCTGACCAGTTTTAATGCTTGAACAATGGTAATTGTTGTATATGGTAATTTATCCATGATTAAAATGCACTAATATAATATATAATACACTTAGAAAGGGACCATATTGTCTACATAAACGTTTTTCGTTGTAAAAAGGAACTATAAATTATTTTTTCCTTGCTTTTTCCTATTGATTTTGGTATTTTCAGTGCTAATACTTACATTTGTTTTATTCATGCATGCAATATAGTATTTTTTCCTTATGATACTGCTACTTTAATTTAGTAAATAATCTAAATACTGGTTATAAATCTCACAAATGCAGGATTTTTGTTTTTTTGCAGAGCTTTTCTGCTGGATTGCATTAGCTATACAGGCGGTTCAATGAGTTCACGTTAAAGGAACAGTTCGACAATCTGTGAAGTGAATGTATTTGTATTATTCCTGTCAAAGCGAATAGTTCCCTAAATATCGATCCTTCAAAGCATCAACAACATCACTGCCCGCTCACTTAATTGTGTCTCATGCGCTTATGGGTAGTGACAATTACACAAGTGTTTACTCCTCCTTTGCTTTCCATTTTCCAAGCGCCTTCTCCGCCCGCCCTCTCATATAAGTTTATCCCTCTGCGCGATCCGTCGGTCGGCCAGCCAAAAAAAAAAAAGCAGCAAAAAAAAAAAAAGCGACGCCTGAGAGCGACGCTTGCAGCTGATGTACGGCTGGCTCAAAAATGGAGAGCGAGACCACTGTCAGGAGAATAAAAGCCTTCGGGACACAGAATTATGTAGCTCAAGATAACGACGGTTCCCGGGACCGGTGTGGGAACAACGGCTACAATGGTGACCCGAAGAGGAAGCCCGAAGTGAGCCTGTACTTGCTGCGGGAAGGGCTGGCAGCTTCCCTGGTCTCTGTGTTTATTTTGGTGCTGTGGGGACTCGTTCATTACTCGCTACAGCAGCTCGTTATTGGGAAGCCGACCGGCGAGTTCAACGCAGTGAGAGCTAGGTGAGTTTTTAACCTCCCCCCTCCCTTTGCTTTCATGTAACAGTCGCCTTTTTTTTTTGTCTTTAAAAATGTTGTCTAACGGTCTTTGAAGCAGCAGCAGCAGCAGTCCTGGCTAACCTTTCCTCTAGTTTGGCAACAGACCCGCCTAGAAACCACTACCGGCTGTCTCCTCCCCTTCCACCTCCACCTTTACCTCCCAAGGTAGACAGGTGCTTCACCGGTATTTAACGGTAGCCAGCAGGTAACAGGACTGATCTTAAGATATGATGTAGCCTCCAACAAGTCCAAAGCTCCTGCTCAAATGACCCAGAGATACCAAAAAAACAAGACTTATTGCAGAAACTCTGAATCCAAACATGTGAAAAAGTGTCTGGCAGGTAACGCAAAGGCAGTTTAAAGTGTCTAACATGATGCATTACAACAATAAACAGGGGATACAGCAGGAGGTATTGTAGCACAAAGGTACATAGTAGTTTATGTCTATTTTGTTGAGCTTTGTTGTCCTGTTTATTTCTGCTTCTTCGGAGTCAAACTCCTGGTGTGTGTTCACATACCTGGCCACTAAAAGCGATTCTCATTCTGAAATGAAAAGGACGGGAACCGAGATAAAACAACAGAAGTAAACAGGTGGGTATTTTATGAGCGAACTGACCTATAGAGGTGGTCGTTTGAGTCATTTTATGGAGATAAAATTGTAAAACCACTGTTGTGTACATGTGGTTAGTTGATATTTATATCGTAATCTGAATATCTATGGGTTGTGGGCTCTTTATTGGGGAAGAAAAAGCTGAATTGACTGCTGTCCTACGCCGATAACTGACGATTAGTCGACGGATTTGAGTGACAACAGAAAATTCAATGTGGCAGTTTTGAAGATCAACTGCTGTGTGAAGGTTTAAAAGTTTTACACATAATATAATAATAATAAAATGCAGCCTACATGACAGAGGAAACAGTATCCTGTACATTTCCAGATGAAAAAAAGCTCCTGTGCTTTACAGGGCAACAGCTTTTATCAGGTTTTCCCTCCGTGTGAGGAGGAGAGACAGGGATTATGGCTCTGAATCTGAGGTCCGCAGGGCTGCAGTTGAGCTCTTGAAAGTGCTGGGCAACGGGATTTGCCATCATTTGGCCGGCTGCTTTATAAATGAGTCAGGCGTGCTGCATTTGAACTGATTACGGCTCTGAGCTTCTTTGGTCACAATCGTTGCTTTCACGAGTCCATGGCCCTGCCAATCCAGATTTGAATTATGAGCCCTCGCATAATATGGTGCCTTTAGAAGCTTGCTGTAAAGACGAGAGAACGGAAGCTGCAGTTTCAGACATAGATAGGACGGCTAACGATGGACGGGGATGGGTGAGAGAGAGGGAGAGAGGGGATGACTTGCAGCAAAGGGCCACAGGTTAGACTCAAACCCGTGGCCTGAGCCTTGTTGTGGCGCCAGCTCTACCAGGTGAGTGCCCCAGTTTAGACATCTTTAATGTCATTTGGCAGTACCACAACTACATGTACGGGGAGGACTTTGTAATAATTTTGTGTTACATTTGCTGTATTTGATCCTTGTAACAGCTGGACTACAACGTATGACAAAGGTTATCATTTGGTGGCTGCGGTGGGCTTTCTTGAACAGCTGCTGTTTTTTTTTTTTTAAGAAAAGAAAAGATGAGTAAAAGCATCTGTCTTTCCTTTCTCTGTGCCGTATGGGTTTGCTATGTTTCATTTCCTGTTTCCACCTCCTAAGGGAGTCTGTGCAGTGACTAGGAAGATCAGGTCAAAGTAATACAGAAACATGGCATACCGTAATCGTCGGAGTCGGGGCAGTGGTCCAAACTCAGGACTCAGCTAACATAACAGAGACTGGTTACACCCTGTTTGTTTTTAATAATAAGTTAATTTGAAATAAATGGAAAATAAATTAATTCTTCCTCACCCAGTTCATTATGTGAAAGAGGGACGTCACCCAATTTTCTAACTTGCATATTTCTTAAAAAATAAGTCAGTTTCCAGTCAGTGTTTTCTCTTAAAAACTTTTAATGTTACAAGTTAATTGTAGGAAGGTTGCAGATAACAGCAGTTTATTAATTTGCTGATTATTTTCTCAATGAATAAAGACATTGTTTGGTTTTTGGTTTTGGTTTATTAACTAAATAACTTCATGGAAGGGCTATCAGTTGTTCCCTGCACTTATATCGGAATAAAAAAATGGTATCACCTGAGGTATTTGACCACAGCAAGGTTTTCATTATTCTTTTAGTCATTAGTTAAGTTATTGTTTCTTGTTCATTTCTAACAGTTGGATCAATAAATACATCATTGCAAACTGCAGTGCAAATGCAAACCTGTTTCTTATTGGTATCCAGCGATATTTACATATGCACACTAAAGGGAGATTGTATATTTGAAGTAAAAACATTTTTTTTTTAAAAGAGAGAAAGATCAAACAAACTCTTTAAATATTGACAACTCAAACAAACACATGTAAGCTAAAGGCACACCCTAATCCAAAGATCCGGAGAAAAAGTCAAACATACTATTTACAAACTATAGGAACACTGCCCCACACACCACAGCTAATGACTGCTGGCACAAGAGGAGAGGGAGAGACCCCGCTGCTTTTGGCAGAAGAGAATTAATTACGATATAATATATTTGAATATATTTCTCCTCTTGTTGCTAAATTTGTTGTTAGTCACTTTTTAGAAATGAAGTCGCTAAGAGGGTCTGAAAAGTCGCTAAATTTAGCAAGAAGGTCGCCAGTTTGGCACTACTGGGACTCTCTTAAATTGATTTTTCGTGACGTAGCGTAGAGCTTGTTCTGATGCCAATACCTGAATACCTAACAATTAAAATTATGCATATTTCATAATACATAAATGTAATAATTTAATTTGCATGGAAAATGTCGCTGTCCTCGAATTGTCCCAGACCCTGTATCTTTGTGTCCCAAGTTCTTTTTTTATTGTTCTCAGGACCACGGGACATCCTTACTTTCGAGTGCTGGGTGTCACAGACCCTTTGTTGAGTGTAATGAGTTGGCAGTCCAGGCCTTGTAAGAAGGTCATTGTGTCCTCTCAGACAGAAAAACCTGAGACTGTACATATTAGCAATATTCCACTCTTTATTTTAATACTTTACAAAAACCTGTGTATGAATGCTTTATTGTCTCAGAGGAACTTTCAATTACTGCCATTGTTTAACTTTGTTCTGTGACCTGATTCTGTCACAAGCATTCCACGGTAGACACATACAAATAGTAATGACAGTAATGTTAAAAGTGGTTGAGAAAGCTTCTGCTTTTACTTAAAGATTGCATGTGTATGCGTTTCTGAGTATGTGTATGTAAGTATGTAAATTTATAAAATAATATGAATAAATAAAAAAATGAATAAGGACCAGAATTGTTTTTCAGTGTTGAAAACCCCCTGTATAATTGCAACCAACAACAGATGGATTGCTAAAAGGGTTGATGGGACAGGGATGCAAAGCATTTTACTTATGTTTACTCGCCAACTACTTTACTACTGCTCACCTTGCTTCAGTTTTCTTTCCCCCATACTCACACGCATACACACACCTCTCTCTCTCTCTCTCTCTCTCTCTGCACTGCTCTGCACACACACCGACTGAAGTCCGGTTCACACGGCCTGCTTCTGCAACGTGTGCGGGTGGCGTGACGTCTTGTTTTT